GAGGAGGGGAGAGAAGAGACAGATAGAAAAAGAAGAGGAAGGGAGGTGAAGACAGGTTTTTTTGAACAAAAGGCTCTTTTCCAAACTTGGCTTTTTCCAAAGTACTTGCAGACTCATGGCTTGGGGGACTAAGCCTCCCACCCGTCTTGTTTAGCCAGGAGCACGGTTACCTGAGGCAGGGACCCCAGGTCACCTGGAGCTCAAGGCCTCTTTCTGAACACAGGCCTGTCACTCCAGCCCGAGGAACATCGCAGCACCAACAGGCCAGGCAGCCAGAGGCACATCCTGCCCTGGGTTCCGGTTCATGCTGCCTGTTAGGATCTTGCCCAGCCGCTCATTCCTAACTTGGAGCCTCGCTCCTCTTCACGGCTCCGTCTCTCCTGGCCACTCGTGCCCCAGGGGTGTGACTCCATTTAATGTGCATTCACACTGGCCTACGAGGAGGGTCATTCCAAACAGCCCAACAAGTCTTGCTCCCCAAGATTCGCTTGGGTGCCTCTTGGAGCCGCTTCTGCTTCCTGAGATGTCAGCTCTGGCCAGGGAGCACTAGGGAGCTTGTGAGACAGAAAGAGCATCTTTGATCTTGGATTCCAGCTCGGAACTCTGCAGAAATTAACCTGACAGTCAAACTAGGCAGTGCCTCATCGGGGAACAAGCGGCATGTGTAGCTTTTTCAATATACAGATGTCAACATCCCTGCAAACTGAAAACTACGTGTAGACTCTAGATGTGTGTGCATACTTACTACACCAGATCATCTGTCATTACCAGAGAGCCAAAATCCTTCTTCCCTATACTCGAGAAGAGTAAGGGGGAAACAGCCATGGTGTCCAAATCACAGAAGCCCGCACCTTCTGTTGAGATTAAACAAGGACGTTAAGTAAGAGACATCCACTTGTTAAAGAGAAAACACTTGGGGTGGGCACCTGGGGTGGTGGTGAAGACACTGCGTGGGACAGCCCCACCGCATACGGGAGCGCTCTGGCTCCTGACTCCAGCTGCTGTTCACGTGCACTATGGGAGGCAGAAGACCTGAAGGGAGTTCCTCAGCCGGGCCCTGGCCCAGCTGTTGTGAGCATCTGGGGAGTGAACCAGAGGACAAGAACTCTCAATGTCTGTGTGTGTGTGTGTTTCAAATAAATAAATAAGAAAACTCTTTAAAGTAGTCCAGTGGTGCCTTTCTTATAGGCATCAGTACCTGTCACCATCAGGGAAGAAAAGTCACACGATTTTATTGGAAAGCACCAAACCCAAATCAGTGGCCAACCCACACGACACCTTCCACAGGAAGTGAAGGAATCGGGAGAAGGCGCCTTGCAGAAGCTCACCTGGGCTCTCGCTGAACGCGGACCGGGGCCCAGGAACACGTGCTCTCCTCTGCGCCTGGGCTGCTGGAGTAGACTGCACCCAGGCCAGCAGCCAAGGTGCCCTCAGGCCACGTGCAGGAGTGGTGGTTCCATAATGAAACGTTTGTCTTTGCCCTTGGTTCCTCTAAGTCCTTGGAATTCCCCCAGGGGCAGGAAAGTCTCTGTTATTCCTTGGGTCCCACCTAAGTTTGCTCTAAGGAGGTGGCAGGATGTTGAGCTCAATCTTGCAGCCACTGTGTCAATGGATCCTGCCCATGAAATAAACCCAGTGAAAACTACACACAGAAGTTCAGTGAACGCACGGCTGTGCCAGGAAGGTGATGCACCCTGCGTCCGTGAAGAAGGACACGGAGCCTCCGACCTCAAGAGCTGCCCACACTTCACCCTACCTGTCTCTTCACCAGGCTGGTACTGAGCTGTATTCTTTGTAACAAACTCCAATCATGAGCATAGCACTGCCCTGAGCTGACTCATTCTAGCAAGTCATCAAAGCCTGGGGCTGTGGGAGCCTTTGAATGTATGTCAGTTGGTGGGAAGCACAGGGGATGATGGCCCAGCCTGCAGCTTCTGTCTGAGATGAGGTGGGGGTCTGTGACCTCCAGTGTGTGAAGGTTGACACTGAGCCCCCAGCCAGTGGGCTCTGCTCTGACTCCAGGTGCTCATGGCAGCCCCAGAGGGTCCACGCCCCTCCTGTCTTAGGCCCAGGGAACAGTCTGCATTTTCTAGAACTTTTTGTCTCCAACCCTGAGGACAATTCAATTCCCTGTGAAATCAGGGCATTGGAGACCCAACTCATGCACACACGACAGCCCAAGGAGCAAGTGTAACCCATGCCCACAGCACCATGGAAGTACACAGAATGGCCACCACTCAGCAGCCGTGAGACCAAGGGAAAATCACCAACTTCCTCTGAGCCCCGGTTTCCACCTCTATAAGATACAGTAACGGCCGGCGCCGCGGCTCACTAGGCTAATCCTCCGCCTTGCGGTGCCGGCACACCGGGTTCTAGTCCCGGTCAGGGCACCGGATTCTGTCCCGGTTGCCCCTCTTCCAGGCCAGCTCTCTGCTGTGGCCAGGGAGTGCAGTGGAGGATGGCCCAAGTCCTTGGGCCCTGCACCCCATGGGAGACCAGGATAAGTACCTGGCTCCTGCCATCAGATCAGTGCGGTGCGCCGGCTGCAGCGCACCGGCCGCGGCGGCCATTGGAGAGTGAACCAACGGCAAAGGAAGACCTTTCTCTCTGTCTCTCTCTCTCACTGTCCACTCTGCCTGTCAAAAAAAAAAAAAAAAAGATACAGTTAAGGACCCTTCCCTCACAGATGATGGGACAGCTCAGGGATGTCACATGCTCACAGAGCCTAGCATGGCCTCTTACACGAGGAAGCCACTTAAACATCAGCCTGGAGCCAGCACTGTGGCGTAGCAGAAAAGCCACCGCCTGCAGGGCCAGCATCCCACATGGGCATCAGTTCATGTTCCGGCTGCCCCACTTGCAACCCAGCTCTGCACTAATGGCCTGGGAAAAGCAGCAAAAGATGGCCCAGGTGTTTGGGCCCCTGCCACCCATGTGGGAGACCTGGATAAAGCTCCTGGCTCCTGGCTTTGGCCTGGCTCAGCCCTGGCTGTTGCAGCCACCTGGGGAGTGAACCAGCAGATGGAAGATCTATCTTTCTCTTTCTTTCTGCTTTTACCTCTCTCTCTGTCACTCCTTCAAATAAATAAACCTTTTTTAAAAAAATCAGCCTATTCCCACCCCATTTACTTTCTTTTTTTTTTTTTTAAGATTTATTTTTACTTATTTGAAAGTCATAGTGACTCAGACAGAGGGAGAGATAGAGACAGAGAGGTCTCCCAAGCACTGGTTCACTCCCCAGATGGTCTCACTGGCCAGGTTTGGGCCGGGCCAAAGCCAAGAGCCAGGGACTGCATCTGGGTCTCCCACGTTGGTGGCAGGGTTCCAAGTAGTTGGCCCGTCTTCTACTGCTTTTTCCAGGCACGTTAACGTGGAATTGTACTGGAAGCACAGCAGGCTGCTGGCGCCACAAAGCCAGCCCTTCCTCTCCCATTCCCAAACTACCCTGTGCCCCCAGCTCCCCTCACCTCTCTGCTCTCCCTGGAAAACCGTCTGGGTGCCAAGGTTTCGAATCCCAGGGCAGAGGAAGCCAACCATTCTGTCAAACACGCAAAGCAACTAACCGTTAGGCTGAACCGAAAGGAGATTTGTATTTACTTCAGAGGCGATAAAGGACTCCATAAAATAGCACGTGCAGCCTGCATCCCTGCAATTCATAAAAAATCTTGCAAATTATTTTCTCAGGCCCCTGGATGCATCCCACTGGTCATTAAGAACAATTAATTCTTTCAAGAAATAAAAGAATTGCAGGGGCTGGTGCTGTGCGTAGCGGGTAAAGCCACTGCCTACAGTGCCGGCATCCAATATGTATGCCAGTTCTAGTCCCAGCTGCTCCTCTTCCAATTCAGCCCTCTGCCATGGCCTGAGAAAGTGGCAGAAGATGGCCCAAGTCCTTGGGCACCTGCACCTGTGTGGGGGACCAAGAAGAAGCCCCTGGCTCCTGGCTTCAGATCAGTGCAGCTCCAGCTGTTGCAGCCAATTAGGGAGTGAACCAGTAGATGGAAGACCTCTCTCTCTCTCTCTGCCTCTCCTTCTCTCTAACTCTGACTTTCAAATAAATAAAATAAATATTTAGAAAAAAAAAAGAATTGCAAATCCTCTCTGGTCACTAGAAAATCTACTTGTTTTCAGACTAAAGAGGACAGAAAATGAGGCTCAAATGCAGAGCTTTCCTGGCCCTGTAAATGGAGTGAAATAAGATCAAAGAGACTCAAATGTTGTTCCCAGGGAGCGCAGGTGCTCTGGGAGCAAGGACACGCCAGATCCGGGGTCGGGCGCCCTGGAGGCCTGGAGGTGACACAGACACAGCAGTCAGGGCAGGAGTCTGGAGCTGTCCCAGACGAAGGAGCTGCTCAAGCTGGGGTATGGGCAGGAACACAGTGCTCAACCAGGTGACACTCGATGGCAGAATGGGAACCGAACCCCAGGGACCCAGGTTCCAGCAACAGGACCAAAGTCTCCAGCAAGACTGGAGACGACCAAGCAGAGCCCAGGCCTGAAACTGGGCCGTCACACGAGATCCGGAGGGACAAATCGGGAAACAATCAGAAGAACATGGCAGGTGCCCGGCCCGGCCACAGGAAATGAGGCGGGAAGTGGAGTCCTGGGATTAGCTGAGCCTCCGCGTTCCTGGCTTTGGGATTCATAACTCATTCAACCCAGGTCTCGGAAGATGAAAGACACTTCCAAGAAGCAGGAAGTGGCCCCACAGTGAAAGTGGCTTCTACAGTGAGAATCACAGGGTGAGAAGTCAGCTAGGACATCGCACAGGCTCTCAGCGCTCGGGTTCGCGCTCACACAGTGGCCAGTGCAGGTTCACTCTCAAGGTGGAATAAAAACCCCAAGAAAGCCCCCACTGTATTCTCCCAAGGCCTCCCTGGGGAACCCTGAGACAGCAGCTACCAAAAGGAACAGCAAACTTGGCCAGGGCCGCAGGCACTCTCTGGATGGGCACGTGGTTGGGTCAGGTAGGAGGCCCATGAGTTACGCTGGACAAACACTGCCATTGGGAAGGGGATTTTATTGAAACACAGCTTGTAAAACATCAAGGGGGGAGGATCATCATGACAGCCATGGGCTCACGGATGCAACAGAGCCCGCCCTCACATGCCAACGGTGTGGCACCTCTGCGGAGCGATATGGCAAGCAGAGGGAACCTGATCGGTAGCAAGTTCAGACGGGCTCACCTCCAAGAAAATCAAATTTCTGCAAGTCAAAGGTGTCCTCCGTGGTACAGGCTGTCCAGCCCCGTGGTAGAAAAGGTTGGGGGAGGCAAGGGGCACGTACCAGGATGGGAAGTAGGCTCCTCCACCTCCTCCTGGGACCAGGAGAGAAACGTCTCCCACTGACTGCTTGTGGGCCCTAAGACGAGGACTGCAGTGTGGGCAGAGGAATTCCAAGGTGGGTTGGACACTCCACTGACCCTGGGGCTGCAGATACCGTGTAGCACACAGAGGACAACTAGGTGAGGACAGGACTAAAGACTGGGAAGTGAAGAGAGACCAGAGAGAGGTCAGGGAGAGCTGGGTCACTCAGTGCAGGGCAGGAAACAGCCAGCCAAGCAGGGCGAAGACCCAGTGGGCCAGCCGGAAGCCCTTCACGTGCAGGATGAGTTCATGAAGGCTGATCTGCCATAAGGTGAAGGCCTCGCTGCAGGAGATCTGGGTCCGTCTGAAGAACGAGCAGGTGTTCCTCCTCTCGTGCCTGGAGAAGGGAGAAGGAAGGACAGGAGGAGCTAAGAGACACTAGGGAGAAACAGAAGATGGCGGCTGCGGCCAACTAGCCAGCTCTTGGCTACAGGATCACGGCACTGCCAACCAGGGACCAGAGAACTCAAATATTCCACAGGCATTTTTCAAATAAGTGGGCTAAGCAAAAGCAGTGGCTTCACAGGGCATCAGAGGTCTGAGAGACCTATCAGATGGAATATTCCCATGGTCCTTTTCCCAAACTCAAACCTAATCAACGCGTTTCCAGACTTTCTGAGGGCAAGCTGGTGAGGTGGGCCTGGAAGGCTCATGTCATTAGCCTCAGTCCAGCTTAATTCCTTCTGCACCAAGAAAAGGACACGATGAAATGGGTGTGTATGGGGATGACCCACTCAGGACTTCCCCGCTGATCCTCGCAGGAAGAACACGTCACGCACAGCCCTCTCGGTGTGCAGTGTATTCTGCTGCGTCTGATCGGTTATGTGACAGCAGGTGCACGAGAGATGTGGGCAAATCTCCCTGCCCCAGGTGTTTCACAGAGTGACCCATTCCTTGCCCAGGGTGGATGGGCAGGGAATTGACCACGATCTAGGCCAAGGTCATCCTCAGGTGAGAACACCAAGCCAGAGCATGGCTGTGCCAATGAACGCACCACACTCAGAGGGCCTAGAATCTTCACTCTAGCTCCCTTGAGGAAGCACCCTCCTCCGCCTCACCTGCACCCCAAGGGTGGTGAGGCGTCTAGAGACAGCTGAGATTCCAAGAGGATCTGCCAGTCACACTTCCCTAAATCATAGTCTCTCCTACAGGGAAAACACTGACCTACCCGCCTAGCCAGGCCTAGGGAGCCAAGTTCCAGAGTGGGACGGAGACGGCTTCCTGACCCAGGCCCAGGGGACATTTGGATGGGACGGAAGCGCTCAGCAAGCTTCCCAGGCTTGAAGTTCCTGGGGGTAAGAATCACCTGGGAAGCTGGACCGGGTGGCAGAAGTCCTAGAATCCACCACTTAACCCAGACAGGAGAGTCTCCGGACCACCCAAAAACACTGCTCCGAGGCACCAGCCGGTCTTCTGGGACTCCCTTTCCCTACAGAGAGGATCAGGCAGGGCCCTGGAGACTGCAGCGCTGTCCCCTGGGGGAGCGGAGGCCGGGAGTCACACTCACCAGGCCAGCGCCCGGACACAGCACCGCGACATGCTGAGGAAGGAGCTGGCGCTGGCGCGGGTGCCCAGCGCAGCCTCGATGCCACGCAGCAGGTCGTTGGTCTTGAAGATGAGCAGCATCTGGCGCGGCACGCGGTTGAGGAGCTGGCTGATCTGCGGCAGGTAGTTGGCCGCATTGCTGCGGATCTCCGAGTCCTGAGGAAGCAGCGGGGACACAGATAAGGGAGGCTGGTGTGGGACGTGCGGCTGGGGATGGCAGAGCTCTGGGCAGCCTGTGACCAGAGGGGCTGCAAGGACGCTCCAGGCAGGGGGACGTCAAACACAGTGGCTGGACAAGCCCGATGGGAGGCCTCCGGCCCACTTCTGGGTCAGCACTGGATGCAGTGCATAAGGACATCTATGGGGCCGGCTACTCTCCAAGGCTTCTCCACAGCCCCCAGTCTCAGGTCAGGCTTACCAGGAACCAGCTGAGTCATGTCCCCTCCCCTCAAGCCACACCCAGGCCAATACAGCCCACAGATCCAAGCTCCTGACCTTGATGAGGAAGCCCTGGCCTACCCTCGCCTGCATCCCCCTAGGCTGACCCCACCTGCACACCGCCATTGCTCATCACTCTGCTGCGCTGGAGCCAGTCTCATCGTGCCCACCGCCCAAGGTGCTGACACCCCCAGAAAGGGATGCAGGGTGGGCCCGTAAGCCCGTTATCCCCAAAGCTTTTGCCCTGGTTGGTGTTTAAATTTGGGGTCCCCACCCCCTTCCCTGTCCCTGGGGTCTGCACACCTCTGGGCAGCTGTTCTCCACCCTCACTTTCCCTATGGGGAAAACACTGGAGTGCTGTCCCTGTGGTTCAGCAGAGGCCGGCGGGGAGCTGGGAGGGGCGTGGAGGCCCCACGCCAGAATCCTGGGTGTGATAACATGAAGGATGTGAAAACTGTCAGAATCAAAATGGTGCCACTTGTGCCCACTCTCACCAAAAACCAAGCAAAGCTGGGAGGTGTGGAGTGCGGAATTCGTAGGCATGGTTGCCTGATGGGAGTGTGACAGAGCCTTTGCCAGAACCACCAGCTGGCTCCGAGTCCGGCACACCCGCACCCAGAGGACACCCGCCCAGCAGCAAGGGTCCACTCAACCCTGGACTCACTTCATCCTGGCTATCAGTCATCATAGCCACAGATCATTGTTTCAAAATGTTTGATGGAACCTGTCTCCTTTCTGCTCTCTCTTTTTAAAAAAGATTTATTTACTTATTTGAAAAGCAGAGTGGCAGACACAGAGAGAGGCCTTTCCATCCACTGGTTCACTCCCCAAACAGCCTAAAACGCAGGGGCTGGGCCAGGCCAAAGCCAGGAGCCAGGAACTCCATCTGGGTCTTCTACATGGGTGGCAGGGTCCAAGCACTTGGGTCATCTTGCACTGCTTTCCCAGGTACATTATAAGGGACTGGAAGCAGAGTGGCCAGGACTCAAACCAGCTCTCTGAATGGGCTGCTGGCACCCCAGGTGGCAGCCTAACCCACTGAGCCGCAACGCCGGTCTCCCCTTTGCCTCTAAAGCTGTACCCTTACCTCGTCCTCTGTGAAAACACCGTAGCTGACCCTGCCGTGGCCGCTGCCATCGCAGTGTCCTGCTACTCCCACACCAATTTTTTTTTTTTTTTTTTTTTGGAGAACTTCTCTCTGTTTTGTTGTGAATGACCCCTTTTCAGTCTCCAGAAAAACGATGAAGAGGATGATGATCCACATATACTGGAGCATAAGCTAAATACTAAATAAGCCAGACACATTGAAATGCTCACATTGTTAATTAATTTTGCCCTCACAGAGTATTTTACTCTCATTTAAGGTGAGGACACTGAAGCACTGTAAAGTTAAGTAACCTGCCCAACGTCCATGGCTACTACAAGCTGGGTCAGGAGTTGAACCCAGGCAGGGCCAGCAGGGGCCAGCACTGTGGTGTTATGGCACAGAGGATTAGGTTACTGCTTGCCATGCTGGCATCCCACAGCAGAACACTGGTTCTGATCCAGCTAGCTCCCTGCTAATGTGCCTGGGAAGGCAGTGGAAGGTGGACAAAGAGCTTTGGGGCCCTGCCAACCACGTGGGAGACCCAGATGGAGTTCCAGGCTCCTGGCTACGGCTTGGCCTCACACAGGCTGTCAGGGAGCGAACCAGCAGACAGAAGTTCTCTCTCTCTCTCTCTCCTTGTCTGTTATCTCTTTGTCATTTTGCCTTGCCTTGCCAATAAATAAATCTTACAATAAAATAAGGGGCCGGCATTGTGGCACAGTGGGTAAGCTGCTGCCAGTCACACCTGTATCCTGAGACAACAGGAGCAGGGCTCAGAGAGACAGAACCTGTATGGGCAGGCATTGTGATGCACAGGTAAAGCTGCTGCTGGCAATGTTGGCGTCCCATATCTGAGTGTTTGTTTGTATCCTGGTTGCCCTGTTTTTCATTTTAAAAGATTTTATTTATTTATTTGAAAGGCAGAGATGAGACAGAGAGAAGCAGAGGGAGAGGGAGAGGGAGAGAGAGAGGGAGAGGGAGAGGGAGAGGGAGAGAGAAAGGGAGAGGGAGAGAGAGAGGGAGAGGGAGAGGGAGAGGGAGAGGGAGAGGGAGAGGGAGAGGGAGAGGGAGAGGGAGAGAGAGAGAGATCTTCCATCTGCTGGTTCTCCCCAAATGGCCACTATGGCTGGGGCTGGGTCAGGCCAAAGCGAGGAGCCAGGAGCTTCTTCCAGGTCTCCCACATGGGTACAAGGGCCCAAGCACTTGGATTATCTTCCACTGCTTTCCCAGGTATATTAGCAGGGAAGTGGATCAGAAGTGGAGCACCGGGACTTGAGCTGGCACACTCATATGGGATGCTGGTGCTGCAAGCAGAGGGTTAACCTTCTCTGCCACAGCGCCAGCCCCCTCTGCTTCTGATCCCGTTTTCTGTTAATGCACCCAGGAAGGCAGCAGATGATGGCCCAAGTACTCGGGCCTCTGCCACCCGCGTGGCAGACCCAGATGCAGTTATTGGCTCTTGGCTTTGGCCTGGCCCAGCCCCATCTGCTGCAGGCAACTAGAGCTTAAACAAGCCAATGGAAGATACCTCCCTCTCTCTCTCCATCACTCTACCTTTCAAATAAATAAATCTGAAAAAAAGAAAAACAGAGTTCAGGGACTGGGTGGCCTGGAGAGGCTCTGCTGGAGCCTCGGGAAGAGAGTGCAGGACAGGGTCCCTGAGCTCCAGGCACTCAGCATGGAGAGTTAGGATGTCCAAGCAAGTAACTGCTCTGTGCATGACAAGGCCACATTGGGCCTTGAATGACACAGGTATTAGAGATGACTGTTGGCAGAGATGATGATGAAAAGCTTCCTGGATGAGAGAAGGCATCTTCAAAAGACTGGCACTGGGGCCGGCGCCGTGACAGTGGGTTAATCCTCCGCCTGTGGCACCAGCATCCCATGTGGGTGCCAGTTCGAGTCCCGGCTGCTCCTCTTCCAATCCAGCTCTCTGCTTGGCCTGGGAAAGCAGCAGAAAATGGTCCAAGTCTGTGGGCCCCTGCACCCACATGGGAGACCAGGAAGAAGCTCCTTGCTTCTGGCTTCGGATCAGCCCAGCTCCAGCCGTTGCGGCCATTTGGGGAGTGAACCAGTGGAGGGAAGACCTTTCTCTCTGTCTCTCTCTCTCACTATCTGTAACTCTACCTCTCAAATAAATAAATGAAATCTTTAAAAAAAATACTTAAGAATGAGCAAGTAAGAACTGATTCACTCTAAGAGCAGGTGTCTAGCACAGAAGACGCCACTTGGGATGCCCACATCCCGTATCAGAGTGCCTGGATCAAGCCCCAGCTCCATTTCTGATCTGAGCTTCCTGAAAATGAACATCTCGGGAGGCAGCAGGTAATGGTTCAGGTATGTGGGTCCCTGCCACCCACATGGGAGACCTGAACTGGGTTCTAGGCTCCTGGCTTTGGCCTGTCCTAACTTGTTGCAGACATCTGGATTGTGAAACAGCAGATAGAAGATCTTGAGAGATTCTCTAGCTCACTCACTCTTGCTCTTTCGCTCTCTCTCTGCTTTTCAAATAAAATGAAAATTTTAGAAAGAACCAATTCTTTATGAATTAATGAGTATAAAAATAAAATGGCACCTTGGTTAACAAAACAGCTGAGTATCTGAGTACCTACTGTGTGTCATATGACCTTGTCCATCCTTGTGGCTTTAAATACAATCTGTATACTAAAAACTCCTGAATCTGTATCAGGCCTGGACCTTGACTTTGAGTCCTGATCTTTTATTTTAAATTAATTTACCCATTTTTATTTATTTGAAAGGCAAAGAAACAGAGATTGTCTATGTGCTAGTTCACTTCCCAAATACCCACTAGAGCCAGGGTTGGTCATAGCTGAAGCCTGGAGCCAGGAACTGCACCTGGGTCTCCCATGTGGATGGCAGGGACACAGGTACTTGAGTCATCATCTGCTCCCTCCTGAAAGTGCACATTAGCAGGAAACTGGACTGGAAGCAGAGGTGGAGCTCAATCCAATCCCAAGCACTCCAATATGGGATGTAGCTCTTCCAAGTAGCAGCTTAACCCACTGCCTCCTGCTCCACTCTGAACTGCCCAGGACGTCTCTAACTGCCAAAGAGAACTGGTGACCATCCCCACACCAATATGTCCCTACCATTCCCAAGTCGTCCTCACCCCACAAGGCTGTGATGCACCCAGCCTCCCCACATGCACTCCTCCAGAGAGCCTTTCAGCCTCACCTCTCCATATGCCTGGCCCCACCTGCTTCCCTCCCTCTCATTGCCAGCAGCACAGTCTGTGCCCCTAGCATCTCCCGGCCTGCAGTCATGGCCCAGCCTCCTAACCCCTGGCCCCGCTGCTCATCTCCACCCCAGACAGGTCTGTCTCCCTCTCCTGCCTAAGGCCTGCTGAAGTCCTAGCCTTGTACTGGGAATGAATCTGAACTCACTTCCAGGGCTTCTGAGGTCCTGTGTGATGCTTCCCAGCCCACCGCTCCAAATTCTTCCTACTCCTCCAACCTCTCCACCACACTCTGGGCCACAGCCAAGCCTCCCCTTCCCCTGGGCCTCAGTGTGCCATAGTGCATCCTTCAAGAGCTTTCTGTGGCTGGTGCCTTTCTTGTCCTCCAGGCTTCAGCTTACATGTCAACTCCTCAGCACGCTCCACCCCTGCCCCCTCATCCACGGCACCCTGCTTGCTTGCTCCACGGTGCCTATAACCTGCAATTACTCCATTCACCTGCTTGTCCACTTGCTCACTCTCTGTCTCCATCAACTGAAATGTAAGTTACACAAAAGGCCTGTCTGTCTGCTCATCCTGGAGTCCTCAGTGCCATGCCCAGGGACCAGCGACAACAAAGGCTTGTGGATGAATGAACTGCAGGAATTGTGGTTTAATCCCTCACAGGCGTTATCAATAGAACAGAAATCATCCTCAGCACCCCTACTTTATTCATGCAGAGAGACTGCCTCTCTTCTTCGGAGACAATGAGTTTAAAGTCGTGGGCACCTGGAGCAGCAGGTGCATCTTTGCCACCAAGGTCACTGGAGAACAATGGCAACTTAGAGGCAAGGGGAACTAAGAGATGGGCTCTTTGGCAATACCATCTGAGGTTGTGGATCCACCGGTTCCTAAAGCCCCTACTGCAAAGCAGCCTACAGGCACATGATCTTGACACTCCAAGGGGTGGTGAGAACCGCTCAAGGTCATGCCACCAGGAGGAGGTGGTGCTGGGGCCCAGGGCTTTCTGACTGCAGCGGCAGGACCCTGTTCCGTACAGTTGTCCACCATGCACATCTGCATGGCTCTGGCAAACCAACCTCGGGGAAAGACAGAAGTCACCCCATTAGGGACAGAGCAGCCTCTTGGAAGGGAGCCCACCCCAATCCACAGGTCAATGAGCTCATCCCACAAGCGTCACTCATGGGAGGAGAGGGAGGCGTATGAGCAGCAGGTGTTCCTAAGACCTGTCTCCCAGCCAGGCTCCATCAGACCCCTGTCTAGGCCCAATGGAGAGACAAGCTACAGAGAAAAGACTGCTTGTCCTAAAAGCACGCAGGATGGCGGAATGAGCCACTCTGCTTCAGCAAGGCCTAGGCAAGCAAAGGCTCTCCCTGGGACGGGGACCGAGAGCGCCACATGCTGCGTGGTGCCGGGCAGGAGACAGAAGAGCCGTGGGGGAGAATGCTGAGGAGCTGACGTCTGTGTGCACGGGTTACAGGCAACACCACAGGACTTGAGTTATTGCAGATAAAGTGACCTCATTTCCACGGCAGACGTGAAGGGGACACAGTGGGATACCACCCCCTCCCTCCTTCCATCCAGGGACAAGGGACACCGTTCCTTCTTGCTTCCCTCCTTCTCGTCCAGTCTTGCTCTAGTTCTGCTCCGCACCAAGCAGCCCGCCAACCTAGCACCTCAGCTCCAGGGCTGGAAGGGCCCACAAGGCCATCCCTGGCTCTGCCCCTTGTATTTTGGACAAGGAGGGCTGGGGAAAGGGTGGGGAGGGCACCTACCTCTGTGGTGGTGACCGGAGCTCGGCTGATGCCCCTGTTGACCGAGTCCCAAGATCGGGCCGTCAGCATGCAGGCAAACAAGGGGTAGAGGTCCCCAGCGCCCAGGCGCTCGCTGTACGTCTTCACCCTCTTCATGTCCGTCCAGATCAGCGACTGCCAGAGGCGGCAGTAATCCAGGCGGAACTCATCCGTGAGCACCTGCGGCACAGGCAGCAACGCTGGGGCCTGAGCCTCCGCTCCCCAGCAAAGGCCTAATTGGGTCCCCGGCTGACGTGGATGAGACATGTCCCTCCCCCCATGCCTGATTCTTCCCCAAAGTCCAGCCACCCCTGAAGGCCCAAGGTCGAGGCTATTACAAGTTGAATAGCCCCAGGTGTATTGAATTTTGGATTGTGGACTATTTGCAAATGTGCCATTTGCACATACATACTGAGATCTCTTAGGAAGGGACCAGAAGTCTAAATATGAAGCTCATCTCTGTTTCACTTACACGTTATACACAGAGATTGAGGGTCACTTTATACAATAATTTACATAATTTAGTGCATGGAGCAAAGTGTCACGGGTGTGGGATTTCCCACAAGTGACATCATCTCAGTGCTGTTTCAGACTTGGGAGCACTTCCGGTTTCGGGCCTTTGGACCAGGGAGCTCAACCCGTATTTGGCAGGCCTTGATCCTGAGCAGCACAGGCAACCACCACAATCTACAGTCTCCTCTTCTCCAGCTATGGGTCACTTTCCCAGGCTCCCTCAAAGGCAGGAGGGGCCGAGCCTGGGCTCCCACTGCGGGAATGTGGCAGAGGCTCCACTCCCACGTCTGGACCACAAGAGCTCCCCCGTGCTTCTCCTGCGAGCCCTCACCCAAGAGAGTACCACCACCTCCAGGGAGCCCTGGAGAGTGGAACTCCTCGGACTCTGCCATGCACCCAGGCCTGGCACGTGGCAAGCAGCCGAACTTCTGTCACGCCTGGACCATCCTTCATCTGGGGACTCTGGTGACAACAGCTAGCCTCCCTTCACATGATGCTTCCCGCTTCCTTGGGCTTTCCCGAGGAGGTCCAATCTGGGGATGTTGGGAGCAGGGCCCCGAGGGGAGGAGCAGGAGAGCAATGAGGAAACCTCCCCAGGGGCCACACCGGAGAGAACCTCCCAACTTCCAGGCAGGAATTCACAGCTCATCAACCCAGCTGTACATCCTGCGTTCCATAGGACAGAGCTGGACCATCCAGCCCGAGGCAGCTCCCTGCCCTACCATACAGCACATCTTCCCTGGGGTACACATGCAAAGGGAAGTCCACCTGCCAGTGTCTGGCCAGGCCCGGGGTCCCCTGGGAGGGTGGAATCACCTATACAAGCACATCCCACATGTCACCACATGTCAAGGAGGAAAGCGAAACTCAGAGCTATGACAGGAGCCTGCACAAAATGACAGCTCCTAGCATGAAGGCAGGGCCCCCTCCTGCGGCCTCAGCTCTCCACCTCCCATTTCTGCAACCATGGGGACTTCAGTGCACTCTGACCTCGAGAAGGACCAGACCTGGGGCCCAGGGTGAAAGGCTCCCTTACCTGGTAGAGTCCATGGTCCAGCAGGACAATCTCCGGCCTCCCCGTGTCCGGACGCTTCCGCACCAGCACATTGCCGGGATGGGGGTCGCAGTGTACAAAGCCGTTGACAAAGATCATCTCACTGTACATCTTGCCCAGGTGGCGTGAGATCTGAAAGAGATCCACCCGCGCCTGCCTCAGGAATTCCTACTCTGGTCCCTCCAACTGGTCACTTCCAACAGGAGTCAGCCAGGTGCACCTGAGCTGGGGCGGGCAGTACTGGTTTCAGGGGTGTGTGTGTGTGTTTAAGATTTACTCATTTATTTGAAAGGGGGAGAGAGAGAGAGAGAGAGAGAGAGAGAGAGAGAGAGAGAGAGAGAAGGAGAGAGAGAGAGAATTTTCCATTGCTGGATAACTCCCTAAATGGCTGCCACAGCAAGGGCTGGGCCAGGCCAAAGCCAGGAGCCAGGAGCTTCTTCTGGGTCTCTCATGCAGGTGCAGGGACCAAAGGACTTGGGCCACCTTCTGATGCTCTCCCAGGCTAATTAGCAGCAAGCTGGATGGAAAGTGGAGCAGCCGGGACTCTAAACAGTGCCCATATGGGATGCCAGCACTGCAGACAGTGGCTTAACCTGCTGCGCCACGGTGCCAGTCCCGAGATGTGTTCTTGAACTCAAGGTGGAAACTGCTCTCAACCCATCCTTTCCAACCTCAGCCATGCGTTAGAGCCACAGCAGCCAAGAAATGCTGCAGGTGGTACCAGCTATCGAAATATTCATTTGTTTATTTAAAAGGCAGTTAAAGGGGGTGGGGAATGAATCTTCATCTATTGGATCACTCCCCAGATGGCCACAACGGCCAGGACTGGGCCAAACCAAAGCCAGGAGCCATCCATTCAAGTCTCCTATGTGGGTGGCAGGGACCCAAGCACCTGGGCCATCCTCTGCTGCTCTCCCAGGTGCATCAGCAGGGAGCTGGATCGGAAGCAGAGCGGCTGGGACTCTGACAAGGGACACCAGCACCCCAGCAGCTTAACCTGCTGCCCGCAGCCCAACGTCAGCCCCCATGAAGTCTTTTTTTTAAAGCATGATAAAGTAGGAGAACGATGTGGCTGAAACTCCATCTCCACTCCACACCACCCCTCCATCTGCCCCCGTCTCTCTCATCCCTGCTGTCTTTTCGGTCCCTGCTCGTTTCCGCTGGAGAGCTGAGAATGGACTGAAAGCTGGGTTGGGGGAGCCGCTCCACCCATGCCGCCTCCTGGGAGCAGGAACAGGTGACCCCACCACGGTCTGCTGGGGCTGCCCCACCAGCTCCAGGCCCAGCCAGACCCAGAGTCCAGGCCTCGCTCCCCTCTCCCTCCTCCCCTCCTGCCAGGGCCCCACGCTAATCTGATTTATGATGTCTGCACAGAAGAAATGACACTGGAGAGGCCATTTAAATCATCCTGTCACTGCTGCTCGCCCCGCCGAGGCAGTCTTCTTATCTCCGCTCCCTTTTTTATTAAAGCTAAAAGCCTCTTCCCAGCCAGGGAACAGCTGCTGAATGGGGCCAGCCCGGGGCCCAGGGATGGGGTGTCAGTGGACAAAGCCGCACTCCACCCAGAAGGCTGAAGCCCCAGACGCCTGCTGCCCTTGGTGTTCCTCCCAGCCTCGGCTGGACCCCACGGTCATTAACGCACGTATTCCAGCCAGAGGAGAGGGGCTGGGACCTGCAGGGTAGGGAACACAGGATTTGGGTCTTAGGATAAAGACTCAGTGGGGAAGCCCTGCATGACCCAGCCCTGCCGCCCTCCTCGGTGTCATCTCGCACCATGCTCACACTCCAGCCATATTCACTCTTTCTCTTCTCCGACGACGCCTATGCTTTCTCACCTCAGGGCCTTTGCACACGCTATTCTACCAAGAGCATTCCTCCTGCCCTCCCTTCACCTGGCTCAGATCCTCTCTTCCTTCCTGTCCCAGGTCAGCATCCCCTCCCTACAGGAGCCTTCCCCACCCTCCCAGGCTGGGTGAGGCTCTGCTACCAGTCCTTCCCAGAAGACGCTGTGCCTCTCTCTTGTGGCACTAGCAACTATGTGTGTGAGTATCTGATGAAAGACCACCTAGCCCACAGTCACAAACACCCAAAACAGCAGGGACCGGCTCTGCTTGGCTAAAGTTTTACTGACGTGTACTTTACGTACCACAGACTGACTATTATGCACTCACTTGCTTGTAACAGTGCCAAGTATGTGAACAGAAGACTGCCTTCACGAGAGAGGACCCTCATTTTTCTGTTCTTCTGAGAAGCCATGATTCTTGCCTCTGATTCTTATCCCAACACCATGAAGCTCCTCTGACTCTCAGTCAGTTATAACTGGCCCCGAAGTAAATCAGCAAGAATAATCCTACTTTAGGAATACTAGTGGGGGGCAGTGCTGTGACACAGTGGATTAAAGCCTCGGCCCACAGCGCCGGCATCCCATATAGGTGCTGGTTCGAGTCCCAGCTGCTCCACTTCCAATCCAGCTCCCTATTGAGGTACCTGGGAAAGCAGCGGAAGATGGCCCAAGTACCTGGGAAAGCAACCCTAACACTAGGTACAGTTATGACCACATTGTACAGATGAGGAACCGAGACTCACTGAGGTTCAGGCTTCCTGTGACTAGAAAGAGAGAGGGGTGGGTATTCGACCTGGTAGTTAAAATGCCACCTGGGACACCATAGCCCTTAGTGGAGTGCCTGGATTGGAGTCCCAGCTCTGTCTCTGATTCCGGCTCCACCCTAGGGGGAAGCAGGTAAAGGATCAAGTATTTGGATCCCTGCCACCCACAGGAGAGACCTGGATTGAGTTCCTAGCTGCTGGCCTCAGCCTGGCCCAGCTCCAGCTATCGCAGACATTTGGCGAGTGAACCAGTAGATGGAAGACATGTCTCCGTCTCTTTCCCTTTAAATAAATTAAAATATTTTCCAGAAAAGAGAGACAGCCATAAAGCCCCGATCTAAAGCAGGTTAAGCATTGCTCTCATGCTTGCCTCTGTGCTTCTCAGCTGAGCTGGGCGACCTCAGACAAGTCACTCAAGGCCTGCTGGGGAGGTGAGTAAGGCTAGCCCAGTGCTGGTGGCCTTGGGGCTACAGATTCCTCCTAACGCTCCCAGGAGGACGGCCCACTGGGTTTCACCATATGCTTTTTTCATTTTTAAGATTTTTTAATTTATTATTTATTTGAGAGGTAGAGTTACAGAATGAGGAAGAGACAGAGAAAAGTCTCCCATCTGCTAGTTCACTCCCCAAATGGCCGCAATGGCAGGAACTAGGCTGATCAAAGCCAGGAGCCAGGAGCTTCTTCCGAGTCTCCCACACAGGTGTAGGGGCCCAAGGACTTGGGCCATCCTCTACTGCTTTTCTCAGGCAATAGCAGAGAGCTGGATCAGAAGTGGAGCAGCCAGGACTCAAACTGGTGCACATACAGAATGCTGGCACTGCGGGCAGTGGCTTTACCTGCTATGCCACAGCGCCAGCCCCACACCACATGCTTCTGAGAGATGAAGACACTTCAGAAGTGACACTTCACTACCACATCAGCACTCCAACTGCTTTCAGTCCTGGGTCTGTCCACTTTAGCAGCAGGACTTAACCAGGCTCTGATGCCCAGCATCCCATGGCCTCCTTTTTTCTGTTCCTTGGGAGAGGAGAGCCCCAGCCAGAGCTGGCCCTAGGCAAGCCAGCAGGTCCCCACCCTTGGGCTACCAAGAAATCTCTTTGTTAGGTTTTCTAGAGTTCCATGGAGACATGCTTTGAAAAGCTGTATCTGCCAAAGCAATTGCATTTATTAAGTAATCATTCATTTTTATTTGTCAAGGAACGCATATGAGGTCCAATCAGGGCTCCTGATCAGCCCAAGATAAGCTGGGCAGCCAGACTGAGCTGATGGAATTCCAGCCAAAAAGCAGAGACATGACATTTCATTTAGTCTGGGCAGACCTGTCACGGGAGATGTATGGTCTCCCTGGAGCTTTCTGAAATATTGCTAATCGCTCTGGGCCCCTTATTACTGCATTGAAAGATGGCCCCTGGGGGCGTGGGGAAGTCATGGTGGGGAGAAGGGGCTGGTGGAGGCACAGGGGTGGTGCTGCCAATCGGGCAGAGCCACCAGGCAGCCTCCCCCTCACCACCCCTGCCCAGCTGCCCCCACCCGGTGTCCTCCCCCCTCACTGTAAGCAGGTGGCGGCAGGGGGACAGGCCTGGAAGGAAGAGCCAGGCAGGGAAGGCTCCACTCTAGAGCCACACTGGTTCTGCCGCTTGGCTGTGGGTGGCCTGCAGGACAGGCCCCTCCCTCCTCAGTCTGCAACCAGGGTCTCTTGCAGTTAAGTGGGACTCACCCCACCTGCTCCCCCTCCCCACAGAATAAACTCAGACTTCAAGATCAAACCCTATCACGTAGGACACTATCACTGTGCGAGTGTCATTTTCAATAAACTAAAGACATCATACAAGGGGCCAGCGTCCAAGTGCACGGGGTTAAGCGCCCCTTGCAATGTCGGCATCCCATATCTGAGCACCACTCTGAGACCCGGCTGCTCCACTTCTGATCCAGCTCCCTGCTAACATTAGGCAGGAAGTTAGAAATCAGCCTATACCTAAGAAGGGCCTAAGGAAACTGACATCTACAGCAGTGCAGCATCTGCAACCAGCATTTGGACTTCAAAGTCCTGCCCAGGCCCGGATAACCTCCCAGGTGGTCCCAGCCCCCACCCCCACCCCCAGGAAAGCTCCCAGGAGAACTCTCTCTCCTCAGGACCAAATGGGTACCTGACCTGATAACATGGGGCAATAAAACCTTCACAGATGCCCTGAGGGAGGCCCCTCTACTCTGCCCTGGGCCAGCAAATCTAATTTTCACCCAACAAACCCTTGTGCCAGGGCTCCCTATCCTTTGTCCTGGAGGAGAGGGGGAGGTGGGTAAACAAGGACTGCACACTCTGCTTTCTGCTGAGCCTCGCGCGTGTATTCTCTCCATTCAACCATGTAACCTCACTCTCCCCCAGTCGGAGCAACTGGGCTCTCTCTTCCTATCCCTTCCATTCTGACGGATGCCCTGTCCCCAGTAAAACCTTATTACTTCGCTCTCTCATACCTGAATTCTTTCTTGTGTGAAGACAAGAACCCTGTGGCTTCCACAGCTTTTTC